ATGGTATTAATAATCTGCGATTTGTTAAAATATTTGTTTATTGTTCATAGGTAAAAGCTGGTCGGCTGATTTGGATTTACAAGGTGCAAGTGCTAAAACCTATTTTAGAGTTCAAAAGTAATTATCTGCAAGATTCACTCCGACAAGTAAGTGAATTTCTAATTACTATTGCCTTTTATAATATATTTCCGTGTTAATATGAACAATTAAGTGCAAATATAGCGGTTTGATGGCCACAAATAAAAAACTTTTTTTTTAATTTTGAAATCTGAATTTTTGTTTAAAACCAATAGTTTATCCCATTTATTTCAATAAAGTTACTCTAATTATATTTATTTTATTTCATTTAAACAAAAATTTAGGTTTCAAAAGTTTAAAAAATAGTTTTTTTTAGTAATTGCTTAACACAATATTATTTCAATGATATTGGTTTAAAACAGGATTCTTAAACTTTTGTCATTCGCGGCCCCACTTATTATGATAGGAGTTTGTTGACGACCCCACACAAATATAAAAGAAAAAAATTATTATCTTTAGATGTTTTATTTATTAAGGAACAACATACATATATACATATGTCAGTATATAGTTTTAGAATTTGCTGTAAACAATACAAAAATCTAGACGTGACGATATATGTTTTTGACATAAAAATTTTTCGCGACCCTATAAATTTTCTACGCGACCCATAGTTTAAGATGGTTTAGAATACTTAATTTTGAAATAATTCACAATGTTACATGCATCGAGCTTTTTTCTGGAAGTATTTTTTAAAGGAGAAAAATTTCATTTTGTATCGTTGTATACAACTATAATTATATATATAACTCTACGAAACTTCTTTGTGAGAAGGTACATATGTTGTAGTTATGTGTTTGTAAGAAAATAAACGAAGCATCATCTTAATTCTCAAAGTGAAACTTTCTTCGGCGAAGTCTCAAACCGCATCCACTTCCGACGCCAAATCCGTCAACGCAACTAAATACGATCTACTATTTCATTCCTCGTAAAATTTGTCGGTCTACTGCTGTTGTTACGCCATATTCTTATTTAGAATAAAACCTTTTATGTGTTTTTAACTAAACACTATCGAAACCATCTCTGTATCTTACACACACACTCATTTTAATTTGAGGTTTATTTTTAAATTTTTTACTTTTCGCTTTTATCAATTTTGGATATCATAATTTTTACTTATTTATCTATGATCATGTTTTCTTTTCAAAACACGACATAAACTCTGAGTTATATTCGTATATATTAGTAAAAATTCTATTTATTTACTTAAATTACAAGTATGTTTTCCGATGTGATGTAGAACTTCATGGTAATTTAAGATTCGCGAATTTGCAAATTATTTAACATTTATTATATAATTTAGCAGCAGTTTTATTAAATTTAGTATCAATATAAATTAATTAAAACATAAAAAGCTAAACTGCTGAATTTCATCATTAAAAAATTATGTTTTGTATATTCAATTTTATTTTCATACTGCTAATGATTAATACCAATTATGTATGATCAATCTTGAATTGATTATACATCTTAGATTGTTAAATATTTATATAAACATATTTCGTGCTACGTGCTTCCTCGAACACTGTAAAATTCTGCGACGGGATTTGTTAAAACAGAATTTACAATTAAGTGATTACATTTCTGAAAAGCATCGCAAAATCGCACTATATATATAATATATATATATATATATATATATATATATATATATATATATATATTGATAAACAATTTATCCTGATCAAGGTTTCAAGAGTTATCAGATTTATATTTTTACTGATAACTTAAAATAAAAGCAAGCGTTTGCACAGTTGACTTCTCTATTCATTCAGATATATCTCGAATTGAGCGTATAAGGAAATAAATAATATTTGTTTCTCATAATTATTATAAACAATGATTTGGGTGCGAATTGCGATTGCAGTGATCACTATTCATGTTGTATTTGGTCAATTATTGCCACCATCTATTATATTTACCAAAACAACAAAATCTGGCATCAGTGAAGAAGTTTTTAATAGAGCCTTGCGAAGAAATTTGCAAAATATTGATGGAGCTTTGAGGTATTTATTAAAAGTGAATATGTCAGAAACAACGAATAAAGGTCCAATAAATGTACACGTGTTAGCAGCAAATTGTGGACAATCTATAGCCCATGGAAATTTTGGTAAAGCTATAACTTTATGGGAACGTGTTCATCCCCAGCATTACAGTGAAGTGATTTCTGCTGCCTTAAAAAAGAATCCAAATAGTTTCGGAAAAATTTTAAGTTTTTCTCAAATATTACTCAAGAAACACAAAGTGTCTGAAGTATCTTTGTTGCAACGAGAATTGTTTACACAGTTCAAGACAAAGGCTACATATATTGATTTATTTTACTTAGCTTTGGATATGGCAAAATTGAACCGAATTTCTAATGATATTATTAACACGATCGCAGATAAAGTATCTAAAGAAATCATTGCATCCGGTACAGATATTATGGAGCGGCACATCAAATTTTCGAATATCAGCAAACTTTTTGATGAATTGCATAAAGTGGATCCAGAATCATGTCGTCGTCTTTTTCTGCGATTTGTCCAAAATCTTTGCCAAAATTTAGACACAGAACTAGTTATAAGTTTAATTTCTTTTAACTTCAACTTATCTATGAGAGTCAGTTCATATGAATTTATGTATCATTATTTACTAGAAAATTTTAAAAATGATGAATTAATTTATTTATCATTTGAAATTCAAAGAACTCTTCAAAATTACTACATGGATAATATGACTAAAAACAAATTGGAAAAATTAGCACACAGCTTTCCAAAACAGTTACAACTAATAACTAGCAAGAGAGAACTTTGCATCCAGAACAAAATTTCTCAAAAATTCCTTGGGACTGGTATGTTTTTGGATAATTATGTGCACAATAAATGGATTTTAAATTTTTATCAATACGGTGTATTTGGTCTGCAAAGTACGTCTTCAAAAACAAAAATATTCGTACAAGAACCAATTATCGAGTTTAAAATTAAAAGTGATAATTTTAATGAGTATGTGTTATTTTGGACAAAAGACGGTTATCTTACTGACAATGGAAGAAAATGCAGTTTCACTCGGAGAAGAAATGAATTTTCGAAATGGGTTCTTAAGAAGTGTCAATAAGTTAAGACAAATATTAACTTATATTTGAAAGAGTGAACAGTTTTGGGTAATTTTTACTTTAAAATAGTGTGTCATTTTATGGATGCAAACCAAAAATGTACGGAATAGCAACGATGATGGACAGAATAGAAAAAAGCTCTCACTTCTTATTTTGCTCATTAATTATATTTCAGAAACAATCCACTAATATATTGTTTCTTAAACATATTGATATGATATAAAAATATACATCACAAGAGGATATAAAAGCATACAAATTTATCTAATATTTTTACATATGTAATAGAATTTTAACATGCATCTTCATTTTTATTAAGTGAAAAAGATATTGCTTTTATATACGAAGTAGAGTGCTTTATGCTATGGTAAATTCATTTAAATACTTCACTGGTTTAGATGATTTGATGATAAACGCTTTCGCACACTTAAGTTTTAAATTAAATATATAATTTATTATTTAATTATTTGTTATATTGTAGAAAAAGTGAATAAAAACAATTTGTTTAAAGTAAATTTTTATTAATATTTGTATGTAACAAATGCGCTTATACATAGGAAAAGATTAATAGTTATGTTGTGTATTATAACAATTGTGTTTATAAAAATTTGAATCTTTTGTATAATAAAATTCGGTTTTTTATTTTAATCAAATAAACAAGAAAGTCATTTTTATAATTCGATACTTAAAACCTAAGTACTTCTGCGCTTACTCGAATCGTGATATATAATTTATTAATTGTTTATATTTTAATTCATTGCGTTTCACAAAAGCTAATGCGACTAATATGTATATTGCATTACAAACAAGTTTTAAGTTTTTTCGCTCGGAACTTATTAATCTAAAACGAAGTAATTTTAGTTTTGCATAAGATTAATAACCATGAAAAATATTTATTTGAATATCTGATATATATCAAACTTAAAATAGTGCGTTATTCACTGGTATTCTATCATATTAATTTTCGTCGTCATATGTGGATCAACTAGTTGGGTACGGTAGTGACAGTCGTTATAACAGCTAAACTAAACTGATTTTGACATACAGTTCAAATGGAGAAAGATGAAGTATGATCGTTCGAACAAGTACCCAATGTTGCTTGCAGTCAGAGCATTTAGTCCTTATAACCTTAGGCCGCATTATTTTTAAAGAGTCAAAAGTAAGTTTAAATTCTTTTAATAATAACTGGTATTTGTATTGTTTATTTTAGTTATATTTGTTCTATGTGATAGCAATATCATTTATTCCAAAGCAAACATAACTTTAATAAACCAAAATCTGTCTATAAAACAGATATCAAAACCACCAGGACCGAGAATATATCATTAAATATTTTATGCAAATCGATCTTCTATGGGCGGTTGATCATCATAAATTGACGGTCCGAGAGAATGGCAATAAAATTTACTGTTTTAATAATACGCATTTGAATATCAAAGTGAAATTGGTAAAGTCGGCTGCAAATTCCTTGTACGCGTCATCGCTCTGTTCTCGAGCAATGATCTTTAATGTGCTTCTGGTCGAACTCTATTTTTAGTAACCGGAAGGTGAGCTTGAGATAACAAAACTTGCAATACACGCATTCAATCAGCAGACCGCAACAGCCGAATGCTAATAGCCTCCCGCAACAATTCCATAAATCAATAGACGATCTATAACGCGATCAATACGTTTAACATACGCTATTTTATACTCTATAAAGAAATCTCGCCTCTAAGAACCATCTCATTTCACTCCCATGACAGCTCTTTTTGGTTCCTATCCAAAAAAATAAAACTACATATATGCAGAAACACTACACTTTCTTTCTTCTACTAATTTCTGCATTTGCGTTGAAAGTAATAAAAAACTAGTGGGGCGCATGGCATCGTGCTGGAACATCCCGTACCAGAAATCATTTTTTTTTTAAAAAGATTAACATTTTTGAAAAAAATTTACTTTGAAAAAAATAGATTTTTGAGAAACTTTAAATTTTAG